ATCTCCAGTAACATTATACCTATGCGTAATCCCCACTAAAGTTAGAACTTTTGATAAGAGTTTGTCTAAAAGTTAGCACCCTCCAGAGGACTGATCTCCTAAAGAAGTGCATTTCAACATGATTCTGCATAATCTTCTTTTTCGGTGCAGTCTACTCCATTTCGAAGAATCTGGGAAGAATCATTTCATTGGATTAGATACCTTTGTTATATCTCTTTGAAGTTCATATAATGCGTCTTCGTGATTGGTATTTATCTCCCTAGTGAAGTGGTCGTTCATCTTCCCCATGAAGTTTATATCTTTTCTCGCCAAAGAAGTTTTGCCCAAGTCAGGTTTTCTTGAAGAGATGTTTGATCGGCATGCTTATTATGCCTCAGTGGAGCAAGTCTCCTATTTTTCTGGAGCGGTATGCATGTATGAATATCGTTTAGAGTTCTTTGACCCCCAGTGATAGAGTATTGCTGAAATATTCCCTTGGTGGAATTCTTAACCTCAAGCTTATGATTCAAAGATTCCTCCCTCTTCTTCAAGTGGAGGTTGTTACCCTCGATGGTAGTATCCCCCATATGGCCTGGGTAGAATTCTTTTATTCAAGAATTTCTGTGATTTCCCAATCGAAGTCACTTTTATTGAGGACTTACATCAGAAGGTCCCAATTCCCAACAAGATTCTCTTTATCCTTGGAAAAAGATGTTGGATTTTTCCCCACGAAGTTGGGAGTTGGATCAGAGTTCAAAATTTTCTCTGAACTGTAATTTATTTTTGCAGTATTTTTCTCATTAAAGGTGTTCTCTCGCCCGAGCATTCCTCCTTCTCAGTGTAGTCTATTCCTTTCCAGGTTTTCTCGAAAGAATCGTTTTATTCACCAATCATAGATTTTTGGTATACTTCCCTTGAAGTTGACATTCTACAGCTTCCCCAATAAGGTTTACACTCACCCTCCCCGTGAAGTATGTATTCTCCTACTCCGTGAGGCATGCACTCCCTTTCTCTCCAATGCGACTTGCCTATATCAGATTTCTTAAAGAGACTCATGTTTACCTATGGGAGATTCTAGTTTTTTATCCTCATGAGGACGACCATCATCTGCAACAAAGTGATTTCTACTCCCCAGTACAGAACTTCTTGCGGCTAGAATCTTACAGAGATGGTTACACTCAGTGCAAAGGATGTTGTTGATGGTACCATCTAAAGTCTTTTGACCCCCCCAATGTAAGAGGTAGTCTTTATCCCCAGTTGAAGTCCAATTTTAAAGACCTGTCAGAGTAACTTATCTATTATTTCCCGGTAGGAGCAAGTTTTCTTTCCCTAGTGGAGCAAGTGTCCTATACTCCCCAAAGCGGTGTACATATGAACGCTAGTCATAACTTTTTCACCCTCGGTGATAGAAGATTTTGTTGAGATATCCCCAGTGGAGTTTCTATCCCAGGATGTTTGTTTCTTCCCCAAGTGAGGACTTTCTACCCCCCGACAGTGTTATCCCCAGTGGGGTCTGAGTAAAAAAAATTATTTAAGAACTTGTCTACTCCACAGTAGAAGTTATCTTCATCAAGAAATTCTATGCAAGAAAGTTTCCATCCCCAGTGAAGCTCTCCTCTTTCTAACAAGGGATGAAGATTTTGTTCCCTGGAAAGTTGGGAGTCTGATCAGAATTCAAAATTTTCTTTGAACTGCAATTTATTTTTGCAGTATTTCTCTTCAGAAAGTTACTTCCGCAGTGATATCTATATTTAGAGGTTGGTGGTTCCGAGTCTCGGTGCCCCACTGAAGTTTAAATTTACTTTTCTCTACAGAAGATCAGATGTGCAAGAATAATCATTCAGAAGTTCATTATCTTCTCAACAACCAATTATGGATGTGTTTTCCCCAGTGCATTGCTAAACATGCATCATTATATTGCATCTTTTAAAACACGTAGCATTTACATTGTATGGAGCATTATGCTAAAAAATTAAAATATGTATAAGCATAAGCCAATTGTGTTCACTCGCAGTAACTAAATTGTTATACGCTCAGATTTGAATCATCTTCACATCAAGCTTTAGGTGATCCTATTCAGGTTCCCTAACGGAGTTTGTTTTGATTCACCACCAGTCGGGTCTTTGGTATTTTTCATTTCCCTAGTAAGTCGTGTTTCTCTCTTGCCCTTGCAAGCCTTTAGTTATTTTACCTGTGTTTTACTTTGTCGTTAGAGTGTGAGTAAGAGTCAGTGTATAGCCTTTCTTTCTTATCAAGTGTTTGAGTATCCATACTTGGTGTGTGGTGATTCGGATAATTACCACTCTTGAAGAAGTACACCCCGCCTTTGGCCTGAGGGATTTTGTGGTTCTTGCGTATTTGCAACTCTTAAAGTCCAACATGTGTTGGTAATCCTTCTCTAGAGTCCCTACATTTAGTCTCTTTTTCTAATCACAAGTTTACCTTCACCCGATGTCTTTTCGACTTAAGTCCACCTTCACCCAGTGTCCCTTCTTGTTGGTCAAGGTTCGTCTTCTCCCGATGTTCTCTTTTCTTCGATAAGTTCACCTTCGCCCAGTGTCTATCCATTTTAGGTCCACCTTCACCCGGTGCCCCTTCTTATTGGTTAAGGTTCGTCTTCATCTGACGTTCTCTTTTCTCTAGAATTCACCTTCGCCCAATGCCTTTCCGTCTTAAGTCCACCTTCGCCCGGTGTCCCTTTTTTGTTGGTTAAGGTTCGTCTTCTCCTGATGTTCTCTTTTTTCTGGAAAATTCGCCTTCTCTTGGTGTCCCTCTTCTGTTGGTTAAAGTTCGCTTTCAATCGATGTTCTTTCTCCTGGAGTCAATCTGTGTTTAGAATTCCTTCTTTGATATATTTGGTTGAGATCGATTTGATAGAGTTCTTTCATCTTTGATATCCGGTTGAGATCGATTTGACATATTTCTTCCATCTTGGGTATCTGGTTGAAATTGATTTCACAAATTTCTTCCATCTTTGGTATCTGGTTGAGATTGATTTGATAGATTTCTTCCATCTTTGATATCCGGTTGAGATTGATTTGACAAATTTCTTTCATCTTTGATATCTGATTGAGATTTGTTTGACAGATTTATGCCATATTTGATATCCCGTTGAGATCGATTTGACAGATTTCTTCCATTTTTGATATCCGGTTGAGATCAATTTGACAGATTTCTTCCATCTTTGATATCTGGTTGAAATCGATTTGACATATTTCTTCCATCTTTGATATTCGGTTGAGATCGATTTGACAAACTTCTGCCATCTTTGATATCTGGTTGAGATCGATTGGACAGATTTCTTCCATCTTTGATATCCGGTTGAGATCGATTTGACAGATTTCTTCCATCTTTGATATCCAGATGAGATCGATTCGACAGATTTCTTCCATCTTTGATATTCGGTTGAAATCGGTTTTACATATTTCTTCCATCTTTGTTATCCGGTTGAGATTGATTTTACAGATTTCTTCCATCTTTAATATCCAGTTGAGATCGATTTAACAGATTTCTTCCATCTTTGATATCTGGTTGAGATCGATTTGAAAGATTTCTTCCATCTTTGATATCCAATTGAGATCGATTTGACAGATTTCTTCCATCTTTGATATCCCGTTGAAATTGATTCGACATATTTCTTCCATCTTCAATAAAGCGCTTGAGGTTCAAAGTTCAGTGGTCGTGCAATATTAGGGTTTTACACTGGTTAAGGCGTTTGTATCCAATAAAGGCTGGTTTCTTCTTCAAGCATTGAGAAGTGGAATTAGGTTGTGGTCTGTGGTCATTAAGAATCTCTTCTTCGCGAATCTATAAGGCCAATCTCAACCCAATTTCATCAACTCCAGAGATTAGGGCTTATTTCCTTATGTATCTTACGAAATTATGGTTTCTATCATATGCACATCTTGCTATGCTTCCAGTTTCATCTGAGTCAAGGAATTTCCTCAATGAAGGATTTGGTTCTAAATCAAGGCTTAAAGACTCAAAGATCATGGAATTAGTGTTTATTTCTCTAATCATATGGTATTCAAAAGATTTCCTTATAAAGTTTGGGCTCATCAATGAATCTCATCATATAATGGATATTACTCATTGCTCGAGTGGATTTTAGGGTCTTATGGGATGACTATTGCCATCATGTTGGTTCGTCTCATTAGGATTTCGTTTAGACTTTCTACCATTAATTGAGGTTTGGTTCACCATTACTCAGGTTACAAGATTTGTGTTGTGGATTTCATGCAAAGACTGAATATGAGTTCACATGGTGTTATTATTGATTCATCTAAGTTTGAGAGATTTTCCAAAACTTTGAATTTTGGTCAAAATCAACCATGGAAGGTTGACTTTTGACCAAATTCCTTCTTAAATATTTTTGAGGCCTTCATCTAGTGGTTCATTCAAGTATAGCAAGATTGAAGAAAGATTGGGAAATTCACATGAAATACAAATTGAAAAGGTTTGATATTCAATATTCAAAAGATACAAAGAGGGAAACTATTTTATTATATTCACTTGGAAAAGCTTCATTACAAAAAGTCAACATACAAAGTACAAGAGTCAAGATACATTAAGGAAGTACATTACAGGGATAAAGAAAAGTATAGAGAGTTATCAATTCTTAGACCTACTTTGACCAAGATTTTGACTTCATTTTAGAACTTCCTTCAAGTTCCTTCTTCAAATGATCACCTTGTTTTTCACTTCATGACTTTCTCCAACCCACTTCATAAATTTCTTCATGATTTAAGACAATGTGAAACATAAAGGACCTTTGTCACAACATTTCTAAACCTGCACGATTCACATAATTTGCGTTATCCCTTAACCTGTAGTAAGACGACAAGTCATGTTCGCGTTCAAAAAAAGAAAACAATCATGCAAATTTTATCCTTTATATAACTAAACCAACGCAAAACATAATCAATATAAACAAGTTCAACATGCTCCTTTCAAGTCTAATCCAGAATTCATCAATATCATAGGCTTACTGTCCAGAATTTAAAGTATATAGGCAGCAACAGATGATATACCCTGCCTACCCGACATACTTTAAATATGTTTTCCAGGCTTGGCAACAAAAGCCTACTGTGGGAATTTATCTGCACCAGCGTAAGACGCAGCCCTGCATTGAAAATTAGAAAAACAAATTCAGGAAGCCGCGAAAACAGAAGAATCAGGAAATAATAAAAATAGCAGCAAGTCAAAATTATCCAACTAACTGTTATAGTAGAAAATTTGCCAGCTCACCAACATTCATAACTAACCCTCTAACAACTCTAACCAATTCCTAACTAACTTATAACAGCAATAACAGAAACATATAAAAACATAAGATTACCTGGACTTATGGCTTCTTCACGGTTCACAGGAGAATCGTAGAAAACAATCACATAAAAATCTCTCTCTTCTCTCTCTTTCTCTTTCATAATAATTCACTAAAATCTCTCACAGACATTCTGAAATTCTCTGTAGAAATCTCTCTGCTTTGATTGGCAGTACCTGAACCTTCATCTTCCTTATCTCAGCTCCACGCTCCTCACGTAGAGTCATGTTTCATCGGCTGCACCTTTCATCATCACCTTCAATCATCAATGTTCCGTATCAAGAATATGCATCTTTCCTCAGTAACTTTGACAGTCCGCAGCGCAAAGCTTATCCGCATTTTTGCATCACAATTCAAGACATCGACATTGACACACTGAAACAACTTCTTGTAATAGGATACATAATCAACAATAACATCACAAAATCGCAGAAGTTAAGACAAAAATATAAGAAGAAGAAGAAGAATATATTGGAGAATTTACCTCTGAATTTCTTGTCGTTACAACGATTGTTGAATAAGCTCCGAACAGTTCTTTCGGTAGGTAAGAAACGCCAAATTTCCGTATTTTATTTATCTCTTTCTCTGCTTTTCTTGATGAGAATCGGTAGAAAATGAAAGGTAGAAGTAAATTCCTAGAAATCATCGCATGAATTGCTGGCATATTGAGTGCATTAGGGCTTATATTCATGATGAATTCAAAAACGAATGTTTGATCTTGTTGCAAGCGGACGAAGACGAGATTGTGAGACGACGACGAAATTGAGAGGACCAGCGCCAATGTTTTGCAATCGAAGATGGCGAGGAAGAAGATTGGTATGGGACACAAACGACCATCACGCATTGATCGAACAGGAAGGTTGTGCGGCGGATTTTGTTTTTGCTTGAGAGAAGGTGGATTTCGCGTTTGAGAAGTTTGAGAGTCACAACCCTATCTACACCAATACTGCATCGTTTAATTGTTTTTGTTTATAATTATTTTATTATTTTTATGAACAATTGCTAAATTTTAGAAATGGTGTCTTTGGATTGAGCATGCATCTTTGGCCTTAGCGCATGAGGTCTTTTGCTGAGCCTATATCCAAAATTTCATACTGTACCTCCCTCCCAAGCCCATTCTCTTTTTTTGGGGGGAAGCTGGCTTGCATTGTGAACACAAAAAAAAACCATGCTGGGCCTAGCGCCCGGATTCCTCCAGTACCCCCTGTATTTCAGTTTGCAATCTCCCTTGGGCCTTTTTTTCTTTTTAGTAATTTCTTTTAAAATTTTGTGAATTGTTTCTAAACTTTTTTTTCACATGATAAAAAATAATAAAATAAAATATAAATTTTTTTTAGGTTTTTTTATTTATTTTGATTTTAGGAATTAAATTCCGATTATCGGACTACTTGAGATTTGCGATTCACCTTTGCATGTTGAGATTTGAGTCTTATGCAGGTTTATCGTGTGATATGCAGATATGCTTGAGATTTCGATTGTGATTTATTTTCACATCGATGATGCTTAGAAACTTATCTCGAGCATTTGATTTCTAACTCTTTTTTTTTTGTTTGGTGAAGCTTACTCAAAGTTTTCTGGGTTTCTCTACTTTGCTTGCTTTGCTATGAACTCTTTTTCGTTTGGTATTTCCCTTGTTGATCTCATCTCAGCATTTACCGCTTTCTAGATATCATGTGTAGTAGTAGCATTTATCGCTTTCTAGAAATCATGAGAAGTAGGAAGCAAGAAATAAATAGTGTGCACTCGAAGTCATTGTTTAAAGTGTTGTAGCAGGCACCACTTTATGTATGCTAATTGTGTTTTTTTAAAAGCCTACTTTTGAAGTAGGTATTTTGCACGTGTGTTTACATTTGTGCCTGCATTATATTATAGGTGATAAGTCCTCAAAAGGAGGCAAGCGGGGAGGGTCCGTAATTAACCCCCGCACATTCTAGTTTGTGTCATCCTTAGCTCACGTTGTACGTCGATGCTTCGGAGTTGTGCAGATCTTGTGTATTGAGTCCGTCAAGTGGGGAAGGATTTTACAATCAAACCCCCATGCTTTTTCAGGAGTTCGCATTGGCCGATGTCGATACTCCATGAACGTTCATATTGTCTTTTATCTCCTACCTTGATCTTTTATATCTAGATTTGGTGTTCAGCCACTTTGGACGTCACATTTTTTATTTCATTCGTCTCTCGCTTGTTTGCTTTGGGTGATACGCTCCCCTTAGCTAAAACATTTCTCTTGTTTCCCCCATCCCTTTGAGTCAGTATGTGCTACTCTTGTTTGTGTGCTTTTTCCAAAGCACTTGTTTGCTTATTTGTTTACTACCATGCTTCCCTTAGGATCGCTCGACTAGAGTAGTCTCCAAGCTAGACGTTAGGATAGGTATCCATGCATGCTAACATAGGGTAGAGATTTCCCTTTCATCCTCAATCTTGGGGTCAATCATTGTATGATAACATTAGGGGTAGATCTAGGTTAGTCTCCCTTAAATGTTTTCTTTTCTTTTGCATCTTTGCATTTAAGACTAAAACATTTTTTTAGGAAAATGTATAAAACATCTAACCATTTTCAAATTCTTTTTCAAGGTAAAAGATATCAACTAATACAAAAATTTTAAGCCTTCGGGCCCCTTTCTTTTAAACTTTTTTGAAAAGGACATGTTAATTCACTTTTGTGTTGACGCGTGAGTCTTCAAAGGTCGAGCTGCGGCATAACGTGAAATTAATATTTGTTCATTAAAAAATACAAACCAATAAAAACATTTGAAGCCGAACTACGACTACTCTGATTCCTTAAAAGGGATACGTAGGCAATAGGGTAGGGCCCGAACGAGCATAACTTTATTTTTCCCTAAATGATTTTCTATTTTCTTTTGCGTACATTCTTCCTCTGTAATAAACAGTAAGCATAGATTAAATACACCCATAAGATAGATAACAAGAGTGGATACCGTAGAGTACTACGACTGTGTGGGGTGCTAATACCTTCCCCTTGCGTAATAGACTCCATTACCCGATCTCTCGGTCGTAAGACCGTGACTTTTCCCTTCTTAGGTTTTCTTGATGTTTACCTTTCCCTTCATGTGGGATAAAAGATGTTCGATGGAGACTTCATTGTTTGATGATTTTCAGCCGGTTGTTTCATACAGGTTGTAAGATGTATTCGACAGAGTCGAATACAACAGATATTGCAGTCTATCGAAATCATGTTTTGGGCTTTAGCATTTTGTGTAATTTGGCCTGGGCATTATTTGTCTATATAAAGGGCTAATGAGTTTGTAATCAAATATTCATATTCACAGTGAGAAATAATTCATATAACAAACTCTCAATTCTCTCTCTCTTCTCTCTCTCTCTCTCTCTCTCTCTCTCTCTCTCTCTCTCTCTCTCTCTCTCTCTCTCTCTCTCTCTCTCTCTCTCTCTCTCTCTCTCTTCTTCTTCTTCTTCTTCTTCTTCTCTTTCACAAATCATCTTTCTTGAAAACCCTTTGTTCCAACAAATTGGTATAATGGAGCTCGATTGCGATTCAGAGAGAAACTAATGGAAAACAGAACAACAACATCAACATAGTTTCCAGAAAATCTACCGGTTTTCAAAGATGAAAACTATCAGCGGTGGGTTGCACAGATGAAGGTTATTTTCATATTTCAATATGTTGTTGAAATATTGAATGATGGAGTACCAGAACTAGAAGCAGATGCGACAGAAGCCCAGAAAACTACACACAAAGATCAGAGGAAGAAAGATGGTAAAGCACTGTTCTTGATTCACCAGTGTGAGGATTTTGATGTATTCGAGAAAATAATTGAAGAAAAAACATCATAGGAGCTTGGAAAAAGCTAAAAACCTTGTATGGTGGAGATGAGAAATTGAAGAAGGTGAAGTTGCAGACAATAAGGAAGAAATATGAGATGCTTCAGATGAAAGAAGATGAATCAATCATTGGATATTTCTCAAGAGTTGTGACACTAACTAACCAGATGAAGGCATGTGGTGAAGCGATTACGGATCTACAAAAGATAGAAAAGGCGTTGAGAACTTTAATTGTAGATTTCGACTACATTGTTGTGACAATTGAAGAGGACAAGAATCTATCTGAGATAAAGTTGGAAGAAATTCAAGCTTCATTGGAGGCTCATGAAATGAGGTTGAAGCATAGAAACTTAGAAAGAGAGAAGGTGACTGAACATGCATTACAATCAAGATTCAGCAACAAAGCTGGAAAAGAGAAGTCGATGCAGTGAAAGAATCTTGCTGGTGATGAGAAGTCAAGCATGAATACTGATTTGATCAAGAAAGGTCTGGGTAACAATTATTCTGGGAAGAAAGTTGACACAAAAGAGGTGCAATGTTACAATTGTCAAGGTTTTGGTCACTATACTAGAGACTATCGAAGAAAGAAAGTTGCGAGAGAGAAAGATAGTGATGAAGTTTAATATGCACAAACTAAAGATAGTGATTTAAATGATGTGTTACTGATGGTGAACACTCAATCAAACACTGAGATAAACAATATGTGGTATCTGGATTCAGGATGCAGCAACCACATAACTAGAAATAAAAACTAGTTTACCAAGTTAGATGAGTCAGTCGAAAAGGTGATAAAGTTTGCAGATGGAAGGCACATCAAATTAGGTGGTAAAGGAGATATTTCGATTATCATGAAGAATGGTAAAAAAGATACTATCACTGAAGTACTATATGTACCTTCTATGATAAGTAACTTGATAAGTATGAGTCAATTACTTGCAAAAGGCTTCAATATAAAGCTGGAGAAAAATAAGATAGAGACATATAGGGCTGATGGGAGGCTAATAATGAAAGCACCATTGGCGAAGAATAAAACGTTTAAAGTTAAACTCAACACATCAGATCAAAAATGTCTTGCTTCAACTACAGAAGAAGACAAGAACTGGCTATGGCATCACAGATATGGACATCTAAACTTTAAGAGTTTATGTATGCAAAATCAGAAAAGGATGGTGTTTGGGTTGCCGTATGTAAAGGAACCAAAGCATGTATGCGAGGAATGTTGCAAAGCAAAACAAGCAAGGAAGGCATTCAAACATGACTTTCCCTAAAATCAAAGTAAAAACTGGAGCTGGTTCATTCTGATGTGCGTGGACCCTTTGAATTAAAGTCAAATGGAGGTAACAAGTGTTTCTTTACTTTCATTGATGAATTCACCAGACATATGTGGATTTACCTTATTGAAAGGAAGAGCGAGGTATTCACACAATTCAAGAAGTTCACGTTGTATGCTGAGATACAAAGTGGTTGCAAATTAAAGAAGTTAAGAACTGATGGTGGTGGTGAATATACTTCTGATGAATTCGCTAGATTTTGCAATGAGGATGTATAAATCATGAGGTTATTGCACCCTATATGCCTCAGCATAATGGCATAACTGAGAGAAAGAATATAAGTATACTAAACATGACGAGAAGTATGTTGAAAGCTAAAGGCATGCCTAAGAGATTTTGGGTTGAAGCAGCTTTGACAACAATATATATTCTAAATAGATGCCTAACGAAGAAGATGGTCGAAAATACACCACATGAGGCTTGGACAGGGTCGAAGCCAAATGTGAGTCGTCTTAGAGTTTTTGGATCAATGTGCTTTAGGCATGTACCTGAACAATTGAGAAAGAAGCTGGATGATCAAAGTGAAGTCATATTTCTCATAGATTATCATTAGACTGGTGCATACAAGTTGTATTCACCAAACAAAGATAAACTAGTGATCAGTCAAGATGTTCTTGTAGACGAAAGAAAAGGGTGGGACTGGAATCAAAGTTTAGTTCGATAAGAATCAGACAAAGTCACAACTGTGTTCAAGAAAGATGAACATAATGAA